TGTTTTAAAAGGTCCTGGATGAGCGTCCGTATATCCGCTAGCATACCAAGCGTACTGAATCATCCGGCGAAAACTTTCGGATGATAATTGATTATGATTGAGAGACGTCAGACGAATAATATTATTGCGCTCGCCCATGTTAATATCAAGTTCATCGAGCATCACACGATCGTAGATTCGACGAGGAATCACTTTCATTTGTCTGTTGGAAAATACGTCCAAGGGTTGGATTTGACCGGTCGTTTTCCTTGGTATCCCAAGTCTTGTGCATCCCGAAAGGTGATCGTATAACCCTTTTTCATACGTTTGTCCGAATGACTGTTGACAATCGACTCAGGCACACTGCACAGCTGATCAGCCACTTCACATTCACGGTTTGTAATAGAGGCAGTGGGAGTCGAGGTGGTCGAGAAAACAGAAGGCAGTAGGTTTCAGACTCGATCAGCGAGAATTTTTATGATGTTTGATGGATTAATCATTTCGACACAGAGACTGTTAAGACTGAATTCAACTCAACTTTTGCACCGCACTGATTTATTGTAAGAGATAAAATCAAAAGAAGAGCGATTATACGACAGAAACACGTACAAAAGAGAACAGAAGGAAAATTTTACTAGAAGAACATCAAACAAAGCATCTGGGCGTATAACATTCCTTACACAAACGAGGTGGTATGTCGAGAAAGAAAGAGAAAAGCAACAGTGCTGATAATGCATCATCATCGCCCATCCATTAAGACTCACTATGTTTTAAAATGGTATTAAGAACATCATAAGAATTTGTATGCTATTTGAACTCATGAATAACGAATAGAATCCTTATAGATAGAGTTATATCCAGCTCTCAAATCCAAATAGATCGTGCAAGGAGCGCATAATACTGAAGAAAAAGCTTCAGCTATTGATGTTCCACTATTCTCAAAAAATAGTCATAGATCGTTTTGTTCTCATTTCCTCATAGGATATCTTGAAAATTCAATATCCTAGGAATGATGGCACGCGGGAATGAATCCTTTTCAGGTCTTTCATATCTCATCGAGGTCTACTTATGGCCAAAAGATGAAGTCTAAACGGCTTGAACACTTGGGGACCTTCCCTCGTTAGTTGTCAATTTATTAAAGTCAGTCATTTTAAAAGCTTTTTCACTGGCAAATTCTGATCTGACTCTTCTTAAAAAGCATAAGTTTTTTATTTTTTCTATTCCGAAAATTATTAGTGACTCTGCTATATCGGACTCTCTTCATAACGAAGACATAGATAAAATTATCGGACCTTATCGTTCTCCTCGGACGAGAAAAAACAAAGATGTTGTAATCGTTCTTATTCGAATGTGTTTATTTACCACAACCAACTTCATCGTCATTTATTTCTATCAAAAAAATATAGGAAAATATTCTTCGCCAACAAGAACACATTTATGCATGGGGAGATCCAATGGATGAATTGCGTCAATTTTTATGTTATCAAATGTTTACTAATCAACAAATTCCAAACTCCGTCTCAGATAAAGACCAAAATTTTCAACAGTATTATTCACGTCGGTTACAAGGTAGGGTTTAAGGAGAGACCCGGATTTGGCTACAATCAAAGACGATGCTATATCAATCCATACACCAGTCGATATTTATGTAGAACCGGTAAGTTTACAAAAAGCTGTTGCTCATCCCAAGCATGAAAAAACCAGCTAGTATCGCCTCGCTGCAGCTAGCTACACTAGCTTCATAACCCGCTGCAACTAGCTATAAAAAAATGTAAAAATATTGAAGCGGGTTAGCAGGCGCTGCAGCTAGCTACACTAGTTTCCATACTCGTTGCAGCTAGCTGCATAAACATACACACCATGGAGTGGGCACTATAGCGGCCGATTAGATACCTGCTGTAGGTAGTTACAAATTGTCGATGAAAGCGTGTTATGGTAAATAACCCGTTGCAGCTAGCTACTTTTATTAGTAGTTTCAAAGGGAAACATATGCTAGCTACAACGACCGCTGTAGCGCCCGTTGCCTCGGATCGTAACAAATAACAGCTCAAGAGCGTAGAAAATTTAAAATGAAACTTGACAGAGCTAGCTGCAACACCCGTTTTAACGCTAGTTGCAATCTAGCATCCGCTGACTAGCTACATCGGTCTGCTTAGCGGTCGCTTCAGCTGGCTCTTATAATATACAAGTTACGAAAAATGCCATAGTTGAAGCGGCCGCTAAATTGGGCGCTGTAACTGGCTTGGCAGTGGGTAATGGATGCATTATTCAAACTAGTTTGACTAGTTAGCTGCAACGCCCAATTTAGCGCCCGCTGCAATTAGTCGTTAATACTAGCTGCAACAACCGCTAAATTGGGCGCTGCAACTAGCTTATCTTTCTCTTTGAAACTATATCAGCTAGTTGTGAATCTAGTCGTAGTGATCCTAAAGCATCAAGCTCTCATTTGAATTGAATCTCGATGTGTATCTGTTGAATAAATAAGAGTCAAATACGGTTAAAAATTCAAATTACAACAAAACAGTAAAATGTTTTCTTTGTTATATTTCACCGATGTTAATTTTAACAAGCATATTAACCAGTTCATAACCAAGTATTGTCCAAAGAGTAGAAGAAGCGCAAAATACATGCACCAAAAACTTAACAAAAGCATTAAAAAAGGCATAAATGAGAGCCTAGAGCTCCAGTTAGTGACAGTATTACCGATAAGGTAATCGATATCGCATGTGATGATAATATCACGCTTGGGCTTGTGTTGAATGCGTTCCCTAGAGGAACTGACGCTCACACTGCCCGGCAATACTAGTACTGTGGGACCAATTTGGCTGTGCCCATGAAATCTCTCTATATCTACTGTACTGAACAGAAACAGTACTCGCTACATCCACAAGCCGCCAGCGATACCAAAATTGTTTATGTAATAATTCAAAAAATAAATATATACGAAAATCAGTTAACCACGTTGTATTATCACAAACATCGCGAATCGAACCTAATTTTTTATTCCGTTTAAAATTATATCTTTTTAAATCTGGTGACGTTTATTTATAAGTTCTTTTTTTATTTACTTTATCTTGATTGTCTTTTTTATCTTTTTCCTTATAAGCCACTAATGAAGCCTTGCCACGTGGTCTACCTCTAGGATTAATTACTGGTGAATAATTAAGAACCACTTTTTCTTTTAATAATATATCTGCTTGTTCTTCCTTTGGTTCTGATTCTAATTCTAATTTTGGTAGGTCTTCATTGTCTTCTTGAAAGGATTTTATATCATGTTCTAAGTCTTGTTCTTGATTAAATTTCATAACATTTTGTTCTTCAATTTGTTCTTCTATATGATTGAATTTTGCTTGTTTTGCTGTTGATTGTTATTGTATATCATCAAGTAGATTTATAAATGGTTCTGTTCTATTTCTTGATCCGGCTGGTTGGAATAATTCTGTTTTAAAGAATTTGCATAATTGTACAATTCTTTATGTTTGTTTAAACTAATTAAATCGGCAATAACATTAAGAAAATTTAAATGTTCATTAAATTCATTCGTACCGGATTGAATTATGCGAGCTGTTAATAGATCTAAAGTTGGTTTAAAATTATTATATTTATCATTACTATATAAAATTTTATTTTTTTGAGCTGTAACTTGAGTAACTAAAAATTGCGAATCATAACTTTGTATATTATCATAATCATCGATTTCATTTAAATAATAATTAACTGGATTTTTTAACCATCGCTTGTGAAGTGAAATAATTTGTTGTGTTTCATATGTTTGATCATACATATCATCATTAATTTTATTAAGCAAGACTATCATATGACGGCATGGTAACTGATTTTGTAAATAAAACTGACAATCACAAAATAATAAGTCTTTGCATGAATCGCGATAAATTATACTCGAAGTAATAAAATGATTTTTTTCTTCGTCCTTTTGATCAATTTTCCATTTATTATCTTCAATAGATTTCTTCAATAAAATAATGTTTAAGTTTTATTTCATCATTTTGTTTACGGAATAATTCAATAGCTTTGTTTGTAATTTGTGAACCGAATCTTTAAAGTAATATTGAATCTTCAGAACTATAAATCTTCTGTTTCAAATTAATATTTAAATTCATTTCTTCGGCTTTAAGATCTTCAACAAGTAAAATTAATTTTGTAACGCATTCAGATATGTGCATTTTAAATGATATATGATCTTTACGTTTTCGGTTAAATCGTTCAAGGTGATTATTAGTATCAGTATCAAAATTAAATAAATTTTTACGATTTTTTGTTTGCCACATTTCGCAGCACGAGAGACAATTTTTTTCAAAATATTCGTAGAAATCAGTTCCTTCCAAATTAATTTTAATTTCTTTCAAATAAATAGCCCACATTTGATCATTAGCATACAGCAATCGGCGAATATTTTTCATAATATTCATTCGATTTGTTAATGGAATTTTAAGCACATGAATTTGATTTTTTAAATATTTCAGAACATGGAACACGCATAATAATATTCGTGCTTTATTAAAATAATGTTGTAAAACATCAACATTAGTTAAATCTTTATCAACCATAACAACTTGTGTTTGTGTTAAATCATTATATTTACCCATTGTTGAATAAAAAAATTCTAAATTATCTTTAATTCCACTGATCATTAAGCAATAAGCGAAAGGTACGCCTTTTAAATTTGCATTTTGTACTAAACATATATATAATTGATAATTTTCAATATTAACTTTAACCGTTGAATCTATATGTACTATATTAGGATATTTTTCAAACCATGCTTTCATTTGAGAAGTCTGAATACATAAACATTCTAAATTACGATTTTCATTAACTTTAATCTGAACTGAATTGCTCGGGTTGTCATTTAAAATTTGATCAACCCATGTTTGTAATAATTCTGGATCACTTTGATTCCCAACTAAGTTAAATTTTATTTTTTGTTTTAAGTTATTTATATCTTTTCTTGTTAAAATAATATTAAATTTTTCATCTATTAATTTTCGATTATTATATGTTGAAGCATTTGCAGTGATTAACGTTTTACATAAATCGTATGCTTGACTATTTTCTTCTAATTCTTTATTTCTGATAAATGAATAATTCTTGTAAATTTTCTCATCTTTCGGATGAGTGTGAGCTAAGTTGTTATTCTTCATAAAAATAAGTTTATTAATTTCCTTATCATGTTGTATCTTGAAATAAAATTGGTAATTTAATCGAGCTAATTCTTGATTTGGTCTTGATCCATCCTTTATGTTTCTCTTACACCACCGCTATGATGACATACATATTTTACATTTTCATATCGAAAACGATCAAATAAGTCTTTCATGGTTTTCTCATTGTATTTCATCGACGAGCGTTTAATATTCACTGGTTGATAGTAATTATTACACCAACTTTTAAAATCTTGTTCAAAATGGTCCCAATTATCAAATTGTTTTGTAAAGAAAGAATCTTTATCTTGCTCCTTTCTGGTTGAATCTTTATCTTGCTTTTTCTGGTTGAAGAATTACGATGAAAGCGATAGAGTACTTGAATTTAAGTATAAGTATAATCGATTTTTTGTAATAGACGCTGAAAATGAATGTAATAGACTTTTTAATGATATAATATTATTTATTTATAGTATAAAATAAGATTAAATTGAATCGGTCCATTTGATTATAAAAATGATCAACACAAGTCATTTGATTTGTAAAAGTATTAATAAAGCTCAACAGAGAAAAAGATTAAAGCGAAGGTTAATCAGTTTATCTTAGTAGACGATATCATCTCAGATTGTAAGCTAATTGGCTTCGTATATATTTTTCGACTTCCCATTTTTAAGCTAATTAAATAAAAACAAAAATGAAAAAGCTGTCATTTTAATATTAATCGACAGGAAAAACATACAATTAAGAGAGAACAAAATCGTCGACACCAGATAATTTTTATTCATCGTTTTGAAAATAATGAAGTTCAGCCATTTCCTTCAAACCCAAAGAGAGGAAGCACCAGAAAGACTTCTAAATTACCTCTTCTAAAGGTTACCAATAGTCACCGGGTGCCAGTCCTGTGACTCGTAGGAAATCCGATAGAACGTCAGAACCGCACAAAATCAAGATCTCACTTTACTCCCATTTTGGAGAGAATACCAAGTCTCCTCTTTTGAATGGCGAAAACCGGAGCTATCCAGCTCTTTTCTATCAAAAGGTATTCAAAATTTAGCCCGGGAAACCGTTTTTAGACGTCGATATTAATTAACAATAATTCATATAAGCACTTGACAAACCCGCTCCTGTTAAAAAAGGATTCCAAAGGCCTCTTATGAGGAACTTTTAGCAAAAACAAACACAGGGTTTTGTTGCGCTTGGGTAGAGCTTTCGAACCATGTATTACTTGATGACTTTCAATAAACTGTTAGCTTGCAAATAAAGAGGTAATGCACCAGAGTGATGCTAATTAGCTTTAAATAATTATAAATCAGTGTCTTAAAAAAGCTTTTTTAAACTTTTTTCCCATGAAAGTATCATAATAGATTATTGGCTATCAAACAATGCGAGACGACATTTTTATGATTATTCTTAACCGAGCTACAAACTTTGCAAAATGGGAACCAGTTACCCAAATTCTAATTAAAATTTAACCTTAATTAATTAATAACTCTGCGAATCCTTACCAGTTCATCGAAAGAACTTAAGGATATATGTGGTCAGGTGTCCTCTTTAAACTGACAAAATCTGAAGGTACATATAGGGGGGTGGATCCCCCTTGACTGTAGTGTGAAACTCTCGCCAAAGATCCTGCAATAACGAAGCATGATGGAGTAAAAGTATTGCTACAAAACTTGTGCGCAATGGTCGACTATGGAGGGTAACGTGATCTGTTTTTCAGACTTAATGGAAAAATTTTGAAAACAATTAAATTTAAATTTTTAAATCTTAAATTTTAAAAGACTTTGAATCAAGAACGTATGGAAGAAAATTTGGAAAATCAGACAACGTCACCCTCCGCAGTCTGCCATGGCGCACACGTTTTGTACCAAAAGTTTTTTTCCATCGTGCACCGTTTTTGCAGCATGCTTGGCAAGCTTTTATTCAAAATAGTTTTTCATTTCCCAACAAAATACATGGGAAAAAAAATTTTGTAACTCGATTTTGATCACTCTTTTTACGTTTGTGATCCCATAAAGGGGGGTTATTATGCCCTGAATTAAAAAGCACTTGAAAATCTAATTTTTCGTGAAGTCGCAAAAGTTTGCATTTAAGTGATTCGCTGGATTTAACGAAGAACAGTGACATTTATTAGTTGAAGCCAAACTGCATCTAAGCTTCCAAGTCGAGAAACATTCTTGTTTCTCTAGGCGGAAAAAGTTAGCGCCATTTTTTACGATAATAGTATTTTGGTCTAGTGTTTGCAAATTCTCGTGGTTTCAGTTCCATACAATATCTGTAATCTGGGGATTTTCTTCTTAAAAAGCCTGAACATCCTTGAAACGTAAACCAGTTCTACTTTTAGGGATGGACATTTTTCGCCGCCCGTTTCCGTCTGGGGTACAGAACAAATGCTGGCTATCTCTATCTCGGATTTCGCTTCTCCCATACACACAGACTTTATAGAATCATTCCTTCCCGCCGATAGACCAGCGTCGTGCAATACTCAATATGAGTTCTACAATTGAGCCTCTCAGCTCGTGCTCTGCTGAGCGTTTCATTCGATTTCTAGCTCGATCATGCCAGTTCAACGAGTCGGATGACATTGCTCATATTCCTTGTGAATTTTGTAAGGAACCGATCGACTGGCGTCATTTTGAGGATCATGCGATAGGTTTACCAACGACTTTTCCGTATCCATTCCGAACCTTTATTAAATCCTTCTTCGTTCCTGAAAGGTTTCGTATTGTACCTTTGTTTTCTTAAGTGTGATCATACTTCTGAACATACTTCTGCTTTCAGGAGAATATACCATGGATTTTCGCGTCAAACACGTCGAAGTCACTTTTAGTAAGTGACGTTTTGGACACGAAGATCTGGGATCCTCCATAGGCGAGTTTTAGACCAAAGTGAAAAGCATATACCGTCGCGTTACAGGCAACTTCTCAGTTTTCTATGCAAAATGTTTCTCATTGAACCAAACGGTAGCAATTGAATGTTTTCCGAGTAACCGCCTATGTCGAGCACCAAACAAATTAGACGAGACCTTGACGAGTTTTTCCTATTTCAGAATGCAGAGCAGTTCATTCAGAAAATGGTTACCGAATCCGAAGAATGAGCGCTGCTTGTTAATATTAAGTATTTGTGATTTTCGACTTCCTGGGTAGACCAGCGCATTTTGTGAGAAATCGTCATTATGTGCAGTATGAAAAAAGTCGAAATAGTTACAGCTGATTCCCAATATTTCGACGATTTTCGTGTGTTTTTAATGAATCGCCCATTTTGTCCATGACTTCACTTATTGCGAAAAGTGGTAAGCTTTCCTCCTCTCAGTATGTGCCCATGAGAATAGAAAGAGTTGACGTGATTGAATGCATTATTCCAGAGCCACAAGTACTGTAGGCACTATTTTGCATATTACTTATGGTAAAAAGGAAGTACGATCACGCCAAGTGGATTATCTGTATCATAAGTACGCATTATGTATTTTTGCCTCTCTCCTCGGCCTTTAAAAGAGAAGCACATCAATAGCATGTAAGCTAAGAAGAAAAAAGTTACTCATTTGAATACTTGTGCCTATTTACTTTCTTGTCAATAAAGTTGAATGTCAAGGCGTATTCGTAGAAGGTAATCCAACTTGTTTTTTGTTTTTTCAGTGATTAATGATTTGACGTTTGATGTAAAAGTTTTAATACACTTAACGATTACTTTCTCTTTATTTCTCTTCTTAATTATTATTATTATTTGCACAATTCTTCATCATAAAGAGATATGCTATAAAAAGGTAAAACTATATCCAAACGTAAATACCTTCTTGTCTCTGAATGAAAGAAAAATTAAATAAGAAAGTAAAACAGAAAATACATTTTATCAGTCATTCCACATAAGCCACGATCTAACGTGCTCAGTCGATGTCTCCGATTTGGCCCATTTTAACATATGTTATTGGGGCCAAATTTAGATGATTTTTGACACAAGCCAATTTAAAAAATATTGAACCCTTGATTTCAAATAGACGTGAAAGTTTTAATACACGAAGCGATTACTTTCTCTTTATTTCTCCTCTTAATTATTATTATTATTTGCACAATTCTTCATTATAAAGAGATGTGCTATAAAAAGGTAAAACTATATCCAAACGTAAATACCTTCTTGTCTCTGAATGAAAGAAAAATTAAATAAGAAAGTAAAACAGAAAATACATTTTATCAGTCATTCCACGTAAGCCACGATCTAACGTGCTCAGTCGATGTCTTCGATTTGGCCCATTTTAACATATGTTATTGGGGCCAAATTTAGATGATTTTTGACACAAGCCAATTTAAAAAATATTGAACCCTTGATTTTATATTGAATTTTTTACTGAAAGCCGAATTTCACTCTATTACCAACTATCAGAGGCACTTTTGCGAACATGATATCTCGAGAAGAACTCAGTCGCTTGAGCTGAATTTTTTTATCCATCCAATCCACCTCCGACTCAGCCTACAAAACAGTTTTCAGACCAAAGAATTGAGTCCTTGATTTACGATGATGGTCAGTCACCTAAGAGGGTAAAACTTTTGGTCTACTTTGCAACACTATATTTCTCGACTGAAACACTATGGAGGTCTGACATTTTTACTGCAAGTCGATCTCAATGTGATCGGCCTCCAGCGTATAAAAACTGAACATATCAACTCGAAAGTCACAGGTTATGCATCATGTCGAATCCACTGATAGTATCAATTTCCTTTCATTTTGACTTTCATAATAGGATTCTAGAAAACCTGGATTTTGAGCTTATAGGTCTCGGGATCATTATTACAAAAAATTCTACGATAATTGAAATTTGTATTCAATGCACTCATCGAATAGAGCACATTGTACTGTACCTAAAAACTTAAAAAAAGCTCTACTTTTATAAAAACTTTGGTAAAAAAAGTTTTATTTCTCGAGATTCTGGGACGTTTCTCGCTGAAAAACCAAGATTTTCTGTAGATCTTCTCTTGTAACAAGAGACGGAAAGTTAAATTTATTTTGTTTTTTGTTTGGAGCTTGGGAAACTATATAGTTCAACGTATGAGATTGCCAAAATTATATCTCAATAACTTAAGATTTTCTTAGAGTTTTCTAGAAATCGCTTCCTAACTGGAAAATTCAACATAGCAATATACTGATTTTTTTCATAAATAGATAGATTAATGTGTCCTCCACGAAACAAAATCTAAGCGAGAGCATCATCTGCCGCGGTTGTGCAGGGAATCGGATTTTTCTAGGAGCCCTAGGACTGCTCTCCATTTCAGTTAACGAATCTCAGCAATGCATCGAAACATAAGCTTCCACTATGCTGAATCTCGTGACAACATTTGTTTTTGGAAAAATTTTAAAATCTAGCGAAAACCAAGTTTTTCAAAAATTAGGATTTTCCGCCTGTTTTCATCTGTTATTAAAGAATTCACAATTCACTCAAAAAACATCAGAACGAGGTCAAAACTTCGAGATATAGTTAATTCTGTACGCTAGACGTGGTTAGAAGATCGAAAAAAATATGATGTTTTTGTCCTAAGGCTTTCTAGAGGTCCTTAGGGAAAACCATAGGGTTTTATAAATTGTTTGTTGTTGTTTTGCCTACATACTGTGCATCCTGCAGTGCGAATATATAACTTTCAAATACGAAATAGTATTTTAGATTTAGGAATTTTTTTAAAACTTCATGTCTGTGCGTTACCTAGTGTTTTATCAATAACTCACTCATAGTTTAAGTTATCACTCGTTTCTTTTCAACCAAAGACAGCCTTGAGTTTCAGCTACAAAAAATCTCTCTGGTGCTTTTCATTAGTATGGAGTAGTTCGCAGGATTTATCACTTCCTTCGCATCTACCTAGAAAAGAGGCTCTTTTTTGTCTGTGCGTTACCGACCAGTATTTCACTCATAAAATCGAAACAGTTAGACGGTTGAGGCTAAAACGTTTAAGCATTATAGGATTTGTTTGCCTACATATTTGGTCAAAATTTCAAGTCTTTCTCTCTTATTGTTCTCGAGATACATTCGTTCGAACTCTAACGAGTGCGTTACCTGAGTTTTTCATGTATAGTTTCGTCATCATACTTTCTCTATATTTCTTAGGAGATTGGACCTTTCATCATAGCAACTGCACGCATCTTGTGTCGAATGTAACAGTTGATGAATGTGATCGTTGCGTCTCATCAACTTGTCTGAAATGTCCCCTATTAATCTATTTCTCAGTTATCATGATATATTAAAAATAAAAAATAAAATATCGTTAATAAGCGTTCCCGAGTACACTTGATTAAAATTCTTTTGCGTTTACGAACAAATTTCTTACAATTTCAGCTGCAAAAGAGTAGACTTTTGGAATTGGCAAAAAACGGATGCTGTTGAATTATTGACAAAAAACCTGTGTGCTGCTGGCTTGATTGCTATATTGAAGATCGATAACATTTCTAAAATATTTCAAATAATATTCATAAATATCTGTTGTATGTTTATGTCCAACCAGGGTAAAATTTTTTACAATATTGTTCTTTATAATACCACATTGAATTAATGATTTAAATGCGTTCAAAGATTTAATATCGGTATAATTGCCCATAATACCAATACCTGTTGGAAAACAAAACAACACGATTTGAAATCTTGAAACGCTAACTTGGGAAGCAATAGAACAGTTCAGTAATAAAACCCTTATAACCATACACATCAAAATTCATCTAAGATTTTAATTACTTCTAACAAGACTATGACAAGATCAAGATCAAATTGACAAAAATCTAAGATCCGTTGTTCTAGAAAGTTAAAAAAAAGGAAGTTATTCTTACCCAATGATCTTGAATTATAACCTTTACAATGTGCAGCAATATGTTTCCATCCTCTACCTGTATAAATTTGTTGTTGATCATCATCATTATCATTACACAGAATAAAATTATAACCAATATCAGACCAACCCAATGGAGTCATGTGTTCACCTTGAAGTTCTTTTATTTTTTTAATACAATCTTGTTGATTCATAGTTGAATTCAAATCTTCTAATTGGTGTACAACAATATGTGTAACCAGTAATGTTGTTAAATTATCACGACTTGTATATAGACTTGCATTCCAGCTAGATCGATTTAATATATTGGGACAACCTACAAGAAACGCACATCAAACATGTCTGTTTTGTGGTTGTTCAAGAAAGAATAGAATAATGTAGTATTTTTTGCAAAGAATTTTTTACTCTAATCTGTTTACTGCGACATCAACTTTGCACGCTTTCTCGAGATCTGTGAAATATATAATTACTGAATTGACTGCCCCATCTGGACTCAAAGTCAGTGGCTTTAATTGTCAATAAGGAAAGAGTGAATTCTAATTAATTTGTTTAGAAGCCAAATACATATTTCGGAGAAGTTAGGGAGAGATTTCATATTTTAGCTTGTTAGGACCTTCTCTGGCAAGCTTTTTCTTATTGTTTCACTTTTACCTAGTGGTAATTGATAGTCGACATCATTATCTTTTTCTGGTGTAGACGTTGCCATGTTTGTAGTCTGTTTTTTAATAACAAAAATATAAAGGAATGTAAAACTTAAAGCCAAAAGAATAGCTAACACCAAAAATCCAATGATGCCATAATGAAGACGTTTTCGTTGTTTAAAGTTTTGATATTCTTCGACATCTTTTATATCATCAACAGATGATGAAAATGAAGATGTTCTAGATGTTTCACTACCTGAAAATTTGATAAACAGAATCGAAAAAATTAATTTTCTTCGAGATATGTGAAGAAAAGCATCTTACTTTCTGATTCATTTTTATTATCATTTGGATCTTCACATTCTTCTAATTCAATTTCAATTGAAATTGATGCTGTTGTATCATAAAGATGATTCCGTTTAATTGTCATTACTTTAAAAACGGTAAATGGAATAATTAAAATTTCTTTTTCATCCGGTCTCGTTGATAAACTTTGTATATTGATAGCTGTTGAATTTTGTTTTATTAAATATTGACATAAACATGAATATTGTAACGCACAATGTTCTCCAGGAGTATATCTCATTTTGGATTGTTGACCTTCACCAGCAAACATTTCAGCTACTCGACGATCAATAGATGTTGATAAAAATGAACGATTTAATATATGTTGATTTAATTGATATTGATCTAGATCATTTTGTGTTATTTTCATACCACGATAACATAAACCTTGATATCGATATTGTGGTAAATTTGGATGATAAATTAAGAGTGTAACAATGTGAACCAGACAATTCACAAGACGATAATTTGATGAAAACGTTTTTGTTTTATCAAAATATTCCAATATATACAGAGCCAAATGTTTATTTTATACTTTATAAAAAAAATTTGTTAATGTATAAGCTTTGATAAAATATGTTAAATAATCTTGTTTTTCTATAGCTTCTTTAAAATACGCTTCAATAGTTTCAATTTGTTTATGAGTGATTTGATCTTCCGGATTGCTAGTATCATTACTTTGATTTATCAGATATTCATTTAAATAATAATGAATAACTTCAGCTAATAATTTTGATACTACATGATGATTGTCATAGGTTTTGTATAAATCAATAGCTTGACGGAATTCGCGTCGTTTTCCAAGGAGATCATCACCTACCATTGACCATTCAATATAATCATAATCATTATTTGAAAATGATTTTCGTTGTTCTACAAACAATTGTTTTATATCATCTATATAAGTTTCTTCATAAGGCGTTAAATTGTGTCGTAAATTTCTTATGGAATGTACAGCCCCATATTCTAATAAAATTTGTACCATATATCGATGTCCATAATAACATGCCACATGCAAACATGTTGATCCAGTTGAATTTTGAATTTTATTTATAATATTTATATTGCCAATAAATGGTAAAATATTTCGAACTTTTTCTATGTCATTTTCTTTACATAAATGATACAATAAATCAATGATATTTGAATCATTGTCATCATTATTTGATGGCAATGGTAATAGCATTACGATAAGAACGAAGAATAGAATTTTGGACAAATATGAATATATTTTTGACGTGCTGTGTGTACTAACTATAAAGGAACAACGAGAACAATATTTTAAAATATCTGCTTTTCTCTTTCCACTTCCCTTAAATTTAAAACTTCGTAATGGCGATAAGAATACTACGATACTTATAAAGGAAATAACAGTCATTCCATGTAAGCCACGACCAAAACCTGGGAGAGATGCTCAGTTGATATCTCCGATTTGGCTCATTTTAACATATGTGTATTGAGGCCGAATTTAGATGATTTTTGACACAAGCCAATTTAAAAAATATTGAACCCTTGATTTTAAATTGACGTGAAAGTTTTAATATACTTAACGATTACTTTCTCTTTATTTCTCTTCTTGATTATTATTATTATTTGCACAATTCTTCATTATAAAGAGATGTGCTATAAAAAGGTAAAAATATATCCAAACGTAAATACCTTCTTGTCTCTGAATGAAAGAAACATTTAAACAAGGAAGTAAAACAGAAAATACATTTTATCAGTCATTCCACATAAGCCACGACCTAACGTGCTCAGTCGATGTCTCCGATTTGGCCCATTTTAACATATGTTATTGGGGCCGAATTTAGATGATTTTTGACACAAGCCAATTTAAAAAATATTGAACCCTTGATTTTATATTGAGTTTTTACTGAAAGCCGAATTTCACGCTATTACCAACTATCAGAGGCACTTTTGCCTACTATCAGAAGCAATAATTAATAACTATTGTCTAATTTTGTTTGATTTCAATTAAAGTGATGATGCTCTACACAATCGTATGAGAGATAATACATCTTATCATCATAATATAAAATATTATCATCGTAATACAAAACGTTTACCATGTCAATATGAACTATCAAATGATATGAAGTGGATATATTATAATTTTTTCAAGTACTGCAGTTGATATAAAAACTTAATTTATTTAATGCGTGATTTATTTAAAAACATGTGTTTCTAGAAATATAGCCAAATTAACAAAATTCAAAGATTTGTTCACAACACTTTACTATCCACAGCTGTTTCGCCTATATATTGATCACTTGAAGGTGATCGAAAATATCCCCAAACAACTCATTACACAATTATTCAAGCAGTGTTACTACCATTTCGTCCATTAGGAAAATAAAAAAATGTTGATAAAACGACGTAAATAGTAATGACAAGATTGTTATTGGCAGTGTTTATGCTTATGGGACTAAAGGGAAAGTCATACTCATTTAAAAAGAACTACTTACGAGAATTTGTACAATTTCTCGTTATTTTATTCACCGTGAAAGTGCCCAGTTTTCTAATTGTCATAAACGAAAATTGAGATAATCCAAATTAAACTGACTAAGCCTAAAACCCTAAGACTAAGGACAAAATATCCATATTCAAATGCGTGAAACTAAAACCCCATAGTGTCCGCAATTTGGGACAGTTAGATGGAAGAAACAAATAGTTTGAGTTTGTAGTGTTTGTGGATCGGATAAATTAATTTCAAGTGATTTTCGCATTAATACAGTGTTGTTGTCAACATCTAACAGACGCTTTCGTATCGTTCATCTAACTTGGTCATTTCTTATTGACAAAAATTTCATTTCATATTCAATGAAGCACTCATTGAAGCAGATCGGCATTTCTAGACTAGAAGACTTTTAGTCTAGAACTAGAAGAAGGGTTTTCTTCACTTTTAGAAAAAGTGAAGAACAATCCTTTAACACACAAGGTCGCATATCTGCATGACTGCATTCGCACTAAACACTCTTCTTTACCTGTTTAACTTTCTCTGTTCTAGTCAGCATTATTTGTGGTCATAGCAAATTACGTCATATCTTTCTTCTCTTCATTTTCTCTTATTTTTTTCTTTGAGATACATGATGTTGAGTCCTTTTTGGTTTTGTTCTGATTGTCTGAAACTTATTCATGCACGAGAAAATATATTATCTTTTATCTTCGTTTAGAAGAGCAGAACAAAACAAAGAATACCAAACGGACAGAAATAAAGCATCGGATTCATGATCATTCAAGGAGAAACAGCACCATATCACAGGAACAAAAAGATAAAGTTGGTTTTGAGTTGCTAAAAAGTGCTTTTCTTATGCAGCATACTCGATAACCCAGAAGATTTTCTTTTATTTAAATTATGTAAACGATCAGCAGGTGAGTGGCAACAACTGATAAAGCAAAAGAGACCGTTAGTTTTGCGAAAAAATATCGAAGCAAGGTTAACAACGATGTAAGATGTTGGTGCTATGGAGAAATAAGTTAGCCAAGATATCCGTTTTCGAGAAATCCTTTTTGAAGAACCAGCCGGTTTCTGAAACGTATTTCAAAGGTTGTATCACGTTTTCGAATATTTTTTATCATTAGAATACTCATTTTATTACATCAGTATGTCAGTCACCAGCAAAAGCATTCTGTTTAACAAATACAAGAGGCTTCCAACAATAAAATATTTATTTTTCCTACGAATTTCCGTGAAAATTATTCAGTTTTTCTTAACGTAGCTATAAGGCCACTCATCTTATACGTTAACTACTGTAAAAATTCGCCGTCTCCATTATGTTGCTTTGATGTCCAAACAAATAATCGAATTAGATGTCGTATCACTTGTAAAGAGACGAACCAGTTTCGATTTAACCAAAAATCGGTTCGAACCTTTTCTTCTTTGTGTAGAAGAAAATGATCATTTGATGCAAAACGACTTAGTACATTAATATGTAAAATTACTGTTTTTAATCTTGGTAATCGTCTTGATATTATTTGTTCCCATTGGCACGCATCGGTCATATTTTCATCAGTCGAAACACACTTAAGATGTAATACTATTAAAAACGGCATGGTCACGAGCAGAAGATCGACATCATCTATTGAAAATACAGTACAAGTGCTATGAAACTTTTTTATACTTGACATTAGTAGCGATCGCAGATTAATTTTAGCCAGTTTATCATCTAGAAACGGAAAAACTTCCGCAGATTTTAAATTTGGTATATATGACAATAATGAAACAATGAAAAAAGTAACGTACAACTCGTGCACCTGGGCGTTGACCAAAGCCGAAACGAGCGAATTGGACGCATTCTACCGCAGACAACTCCGATCAGTCATCGGCGTCTACTGTCCGAACATCATATCCAACCAAAACCTATACAAGGTTCGTAACACCAGCGAAATTTCCAAGGGGGAAACAGCAGACTCCAGACGCATGGAGTCATTTGGAGTCAAGTGAAGTCACTTGATGCGTTGGAGTTAATTGATGAGGTGGAATCAGGTGATAGGGTGGAGCCCACGAGAGAAATAGCAGACTAGATGGGATCCCAGTCTTGTGAAGTCACTGGAGTCACGTGGAGTCACCTGATGAGGTGTACTCAGAAGGTAAAATAAAAGATCCTATGAGATTCGATGGAGTCTGATGGACTCCGGGATGTGATGGCGTATTTCAACTGTGAAGGACATTAGCTTTTCAACGAGCTCTAGGTCCCTTGAGCTGTGAGCTAGTATGAACTCGTTAATGGTTTATTCCCAAAAACGGAACATTTTGCTTTATCAAAGGATCCAATTCCCAAAACCGAACAAAAGTGTTCATTTTCGGGAGAACATTTTCATGAAAGCAGATTTTTTGTTCTGTTATGGAAATTGACGCCCTTGAAAAAGTAGATTTGTTCTGTTTTTCGGAATTGAATTTCATAACACGACATTTGTTCTAGTATGGGAATACAACAATGGCCAGTTTTTAAAAAAAGGCCAATAGGCTCGGTCAGATATGACTTGTCTGGAGTCAGTTGGAGGGCTTACAATTTATTAAGAAAATAATAAATTGGACCGTTTCTAGAATAAACGGCGGACCCCCACTTTTTTCCGAATAAATGGCTATACAGTTGCTATCAGCGTTGCCTAGCATAAATGGCTAATTTCTGGCATAAACGGCATAGCCATTTATTACTCTCCAGCATAAACGGCTCTTTCTATTTCATAATTTGCCTATCCGGGACGGTTCTCTAGCATAAATGGCTTTTTTCCTAGCACAAATGGCTCTGCCATTTATTAACCTCTAGGATAAACGGCATAGCCATTTATTACTCTCCAGCATAAACGGCTCTTTCTACTTCATAATTTGTCTATCCGGGACGGTTCTCTAGCATAAATGGCTAATTTCTAGCATAAATGGCTTTTTTCCTAGCATAAATGGCTCTGCCATTTATTAACCTCTGGCGTAAACGGCATAGTCATTGATTACTCTCCAGCATAAACGGCTCTTTCTCTTTCATAACTTGTCTATCCGGGACAAATTAGGGATCGAAACGTTTGATTGTCTTAAATATATCTTTCAAGTACTTTTAAACTATTTTAATAAAATACGAAATTACAGTATCTCCCCTTTGTATAGTCTCAGCATGAGTACTTGGCTTCTTGAATTCTTGGAACATGGGGGGAGGCGGTCACTAGTTTATGAAGTTTTGGCACAAAAACAGTTTGTCAAAAAGCATTTTACAGAAGACGAGAAATTACAAAGAATGACGATAGAGATCTGATCCTTTAAAACCAGCTAGTGAAAAAATCATATACGGTCCAGAAGATAATAATAAAATGGTAACCAGCAAAATGACACGTTTCAACAGTCCTAATTGTCTTCTTGCTTGAAATAATGATATATTTGTTGACTGATGTTGGTGTTGCTGTTGTGCAATTTGATTAACATATCTAACTAGTCTATAATAGATAATACTAATTGATCCACATGGTATTAAATAAACACAAGTAGCTATATACATCATTGGTAAATTATAGAATATTGCTACTTGACACATTTGATTTGATGAATTATATGTGATTGTGTTTGGTATCAATAGTAATGGTAATGGAAATAAAATACAATAGATCCATTGCACGATAATAAAATAGATTTGTAACATATAGGACTTATGTTGTCTCTTATTGTTATATACCACACACATATAACGATAAATTGCTTGTATTAAACATGACCAATATTGTGAAGCCGCTGTTGAATAACCGAAATAGCCACGAAAAGCGCATAATGGCGTTGGATAGGTTAGTTTGTGCATATCACTATAGTACATATAACATGCTACTCCCAACATGACTAAACCAAATATGAACTGACATAAACAAGAATGAAATACAAGTAAATTTAATATTACATGTAACTGACGATTAACTAATAGTATTATAAGACATAACATTGACAGAAGAATAGATACAACGCATGATGTAATAAGGAAAATGTCTGTTGGAATGAACCATGATTCTGTTGATATTGTTGACGAATTCGATTCCATAAACGCGAGTATGATATGTTTGTGAAGAAGAAGTGTCTATTCACAACCGCTTTTGTCTTCGTTTGATTTAAACGATACCGTTTTCTGAACAAAACTTGTAGAAGTGTTGTTTTTCTTTCTCTACGAATGATGCTAAAGAGAAGTATTCTTTCAAGCGAATAATATAATGAGACTGATATAAGCTTTATTCATTCACAATAGAAGTGGAAACAATTCTTGAAAGAACAACGGAAATGGAAAAGAAGTCTTAAAAAATAATTGAACACATAGAAAATAGACATCGACTATATTCTAATAATAAATAGACATCGACTCACTAGCTGGTTTTAAAGGATCAGATCTCTATCGT